ATGTCAACATAATTAGCTTGCATGTTGACATAATTATCTTGCATTTTAACATAATTTTCTTGCATGTTAACATAATTTATCTTGCATATAGGGGGCAGAAATATGCCACCATACTTCTTAAATACCACTCAGCCATTTTATTGATATGGAAGCATTCTCGTGTAATAAAGATTCAAGTTTGATCAAATTATGACCTCCCGGGGATAGGGTGGGGACACAATGGGAGATCGAAGTTTGATATAGGAATATATAGAAAAAATCTTCTCAAGAACAACGTGGCAATGGTTTGTCATACTTATATCGAAGCATCCTCTGGCTGTGAAGATTCACGTTTGTTCAAATCATGAACCCTTAGGGTAGGGAGAGGCCACAATGAGGGGTCAAAGTTTTAAATAAAAATGTATACATGCAGAAAAAAATGTTTACTTATTTTGTGTAATGGAAACATCCTTAGGTTCTGTAGAGTCAACTTTGTTCAAATTTTGACCCCCTGAGGGTAGGTGAATCCGCAATAGAGGATAAAATTTTACCTAAAATATTGAGTAAAAACTCAATAATAGCGAAATCATGATTAGTCATTCAGAAATGGAGGCATTCTCAGGTAGTGAAGATTCTTTTGTTCATATCCTGACCTACCTGAGGTAATACTGAAATTACGTAACACGTCACAAAACCTTGTTCAATCGATAATGCACAATAAAATCAATATCAAAGATGACTTGTATTTCTAAAGCTTCTTGGTTTAGTTTTAGATATATCTAAATCTTGCTGGAGTGCGGAGGTCGTAGATAAGAATTCTATAGTTTCATTCTCAAATTTGCAATTTACAGAGTAAGGAAAACTGACCTGGTAAGAAAATATTGAAAGAACCTTTTTGATTTTATTAAAAGTCCTTCTTTTCGTTTGTAAGTAATAACAAAGAAAATAAAAGTCCCTATAATCGTTGTGCCTTGTATGTTTTTTAATTGTTAAAAATTAAATTAAAAGATTTTGTACTTAAATGGTATTTTTATGTTAAATCGTTTTATAAAAAGCTGATATTTGTGTATTTGTCCGTTTATCAGCTATTAAATTTCTATTTTGCAAGATGTTCTACAAATTAATAACATATTTTTAAAAAATCCCTTGAGATTTTTACATAAATTCAATTCCTTTTTTGCGCTGAGCTCGACAAAAATGAATAAAAATCTTTAAGAACGATTTAATGAAATTGCCCATTTAAATCGCTTATAGCAACAAAAATATTGTTCTTTAAAACAAATAGTTTCAATATCTTACACTTCATATGTTTTTAAGACTACCATCTCTATGTAAGTTTTTATCATTTAATTCTTCATTGAATATCTTTGCCGTAAGATAAAGGAAGGATTTACTTCTCAATCAATACCCGTGTAAGAAATTCAAGATCAAACTTTGAAAAATTCTCACAGGACATTAACGGTGGATTGTGACACGTAGACGTAAAATATAAGAATTTATCTTCCAGGAGTCACATAACGGTGGGGTTTTAAAAATTAATGTCTGGTATAAGAGCTTTTGATATAAACTGAGTTTCAAGAGTTTTTCTGTTTTAAATTTGTCTCTTTGTTTCTTGTGTCATGATATTACTATACATGTAATTGGAAAAAAATCCAAAATATGACATTAAGGACTTCTTTATTCAGTTGCTAAATGATTTCAAACTATTCTCTTATCAAAGCTTCTAGCTATATATATATTACACCTAACAAATAAAGACCAGGTGTCTTTATTATGATCCGAATCAGTCAGATATGAATAATACAAATGAACATAGATAATCATTTCTTTATATACCAAATTTACTTCCAAACTCTTCACAATGAAACTGGATTTTTTTTTCAGTTTCTTAGAGAGAGTAAGAAGAATTTAAAGTATTGATACAGCATAATGGATGGAAATCATGAAAACGATGAACACACAACTGGGGGAGACGGTGCAAGAGATGAGCATCTCCTGAAACTAATGCCTCACCCTTTATTAAAGAAATCTTTGGAAGTAAGACATATGTGTCACTACCTTTTCTATGTAGCACCAGACCAAGTTTGGATCAGTGATGGCTCTAACCTCATCCTAGCAGACCCCAGTGGTGCTATTTCTTATCACCCGAGGGATATACCGGTATTACAACAAAGCTATCAAGTACACACGGTGGCCGGTGATGGTACACTTTTTTATATAAGTAAGGACTTTCGTATCAATAAATTGAGCAAGGACCAACAAGAAGGAATTCCATTGATAACTTTAGAAGAAACGTGGGAACCTATGTCTGTCCTCTGTTCCCCATCAACTGGAGATCTACTAGTCGGAACACATAAATCACATGCAGATAAAAGAAAATCTAAAGGAAAGATAACTCGATACAACAGCAATGGACAACAAGTTCAGACCATCCAGCATGACAACAATGGCAAGTTGTTGTACAAATATCCTGGATATCTTTCAGAAAACCGCAATGGAGATATCATCGTGTCTGATTGGCACTGTGTGGTGGTTACAAACCGCGAAGGAGGACATCGCTTTACCTACACAGGGCATTCGGGACCACCGATTTCTCCACGTGGAAACTGCACAGACACGCTGTCAAACATCCTGGTCTGTGATATAAAGACCAATGTCAGTACATATGCTCGACAAAGATGGCCACTTTTTGTTGTCGTATATACTGAGGGATGGAAAGAGCATGGTCGAACCGCACACCTTGTGTTATGACGAGAGAAACAACTTTCTCTGGATCGGATCATTTAACAGCACGAAACTGCGTGTCTACAAGTATATAGATAGTCGGGAGTAACTAGCAGTTTATCTTAATTACGTGATACAATTTAGGAAAATATTCTAAAATATATCTTACTTTTAATTCTGATAATTGAATAATAAACGGATATTTGATAGATGATTCATTTTATCATAGAATCTTTTTCAGTTCTGTATACATAAATCAGCCAGTATCAAGATCTTACTGTTTTGTTGTCTTATCCCTAAAGACCATACATAAGAGGTAACTTGAATTCAAACAATCAAAGAAATTTAGTTACGAGTAACTTAGTAAAGAATCAGCAACATTTTGTATATTTCAGATGTTATTGTAAACTTGAAAATATACTCACCGTCAATAGAAACGCAACACCCAAATTTAAGGGGTGAAAATTATATACGGGATTTAACTATGTACCAAAAAAGTTAGGAAATCTTTTACTTTGCCAAATCAGTCATTTAACGGTTGAATGATTTTCATTCCATTACCGGAAGTTGGTTTTTTAGCTCCCTGAACAGAAATCAAAAATTCGCATTTTTAATAAAATTATTGACAATATTTTGGGTTTTCAAGGTTATGTACATGTTAATTATAAGTCTTGTACCCAAAGTCCGGAAAAAATATCCTTCTTTCTCTTCAGGATGTGATGCCTGTATTTCCTCAAATTAACTGAAAGCACGCATTTTCATTGCTAATGTTGGAAATTTTCAAAATAAAGAAAAGGGAGAGCTACAGATGCAAATATAAACTACATAACGACTTTTCGGGCTCATGTGTTTCAAAAGCATGAATGACAGTTCCTTGACCGGAAGTCCAAGGGTTACTACACTACCCCAAATTAGAGAAAATTCGACCTCAGTATCTGAAAAACAGGCATTTAAAAAATGACAAGAATATTTATTTCGCTCAGATTAAGACATTGATAAACTTACTGCATGGTAGAATTCGGGCTGCTTATGTTGTACAAGGCTGACTAGCACGTTTTAATTGAATGGTCGGAAGGGGGGATGGTTTAGAGTTATGTGTTACTCTATAAGGTTTAAAGATAAGATTAAGAATGAATACATAAATTTAAAAAGTAAATTTACAAAACAATGATACTTCATT